GAATCTTATCTAAATTTCATCGGAAGAATACAATCCATCCAATATTTAGTAATACGAATTCTAAAGATTATTGTGTGAGACAGTTAAGCATACTGTGTTTCCCCGAAAATAAGACCCTGTTTTATATTTTTTTGAACCCTGAAATAAGTGCTTGGCCTTATTTTTGGGGAGGTCTTATCATTTTGGGGTGCGTGGAGCAGGGTGGGCTCCTCTTGCCATCTTACCTGATTTCCAGCTCTGTCTCCCTAACCCTAACCAGAGGACATGGCGGGGACTGGCTGTGTATGCGGTTAAATATTTTTGGGGAGGGCTTATTTTCAGGAGGGCTTATTTTCGGGAAAACATTCCCAAAAATAAGTACATTCTCTTTGTGCTGCTTTTGACCTTTAAACCCTACATGGCTTAACAACAAGGTACCAGCAGACTTTCTTCTCTACCTGTTAAGAAGTCCCTGGAGAATTAGCCAATAATTTCCTCTTTAGAAGACTAAGCAGGGTATAATCTCACAAACATACTATAGTTTTTAGCTTTTACTATAACATTACTCTATATTGGGTTTGATTGTCGTTAGATGGGTCAGGTAGTGCCAGATGGGTAAGTAAATTTTCCTGTCAAGTGATTTTTGCAGATATCAGTGTCACATAAAGCTAAATCACTATTGTGATACAGATGAATTACTTTTGATATATCTAGGGCATGTCGTTTATTCATATAGATGCTCTAGCCTCAAATTGAAAAGCTGGGGTTGTCATGAGGTTAGTGAGAATCAAACATGCTTAATAGCCATGGAATACTGACTGACTGATGGATCGGAGGATGAAATGGGATATTGAGGAGGTATTGGGATACTGAATAGGAACATTTTATGTACTTTAAGCAAATTTTTATGCAGTGGAAGAGTGAAAAACAAAATTATATCTCAAAAGTTGCATCACAAAGTGGCATCACACTCTTCAATGTTTACTAAACTTGCTTATATACGTAACTTGGAAGGTAATATACACAAACAAAGCAAAGTAAAGTAGCTTTTAAAAACTAAAAATAGAAGATCCTGGAATGAAATGTATAGTTTAGCTATTAATATACTTTTCTTCTCATTGAATCAAAGAAAAGGTTGAGTACAGCATTTATCTTTGTTCAGTAATATGGTCCTTCAGGGACACTTGACCATGATTGCATCATTTTCAGTGTCAACCTTGATAACAGACTGATTGGGATTTTTTTCTATTTTCTTTTTTCAGTCACTCTGAGAACTCCCTGGATACCCTACACTGTTAATTCAAACTGATGGGCTCACCACATTAGTCCATGTGGCTTCCACTGTAGCACATTAGCTCCAGAAATTAGCATTCTAATTGCCTTTTAACTATTTATTAATGTAAAAAAAGGACCACGGCAAAAAAAGCACCAATGAAAAAAATCCCAGACTGCCATCCCCGGTCCATATCTACAGTACATATCATTCTCTTTAGCAAGGCAAATGAACAGCTAGTTGTTAGACAAATATTGTCTCTTTTTTTTAATTTTTATAATTTTTTATTACTTTAACATTACAAACAACATATACAATATTTCACCCTGTGCTATACATAAGAAAGGAAGATTTGGTACATAAGAAAGGAATATTGTCTTATGCTGGGAGATTTCCAGAATTTTTTTTTTCAAACACCTATGAGATCTGTCCAAGAGACCAGACAGTCCTTTTTAGGGGGAGGGGGAAAATCTAGTATTCCCCCAACCCCCCAAAAGAGCTTCCTTTTTTAGCAGAGTTTGAACCTGAATTTTCTGGCAAACATTTAAGTTGCCACAATTAGAAATCTTAATGACTAGTACATTAGAAGTAAAAGATAATAAATAAAAGTCAAATAATCTGATTGCATATTATTAGAAATCCCTCTTTTCTTTACCTTTGACTTTCAAATATAGGGCTAAATTAATAAATTCCACACTAGATAATGAATTGCATTATTTAATCCACTGAATATATCCAATTTTAACAGTAGAATGCCATGGATTGAGCAACTGGACTGGGGTAAAAAAAACTGGCATTTTCAGTTTGTCATGTGCTAAAATGATTACCTCCTTTTCAGAAGTGTTATGAAGGCAAAGAAAATGGCTGTTACTGGCCTTGGACTTCAGGGTATTTTGTAAAGTATACATACATAAAACAATTAATTGACATTCGCTACACAGTGAGGTTTATTGCAAACTCAAACAAATGACCAATATAAATGATTCAATAAAGAATTGTAATTTGTTCATATAAAATCATGATGGCTTTGAAAAATGATTTACTTTGGACCCATAAAAGGAAGATTAATTGAGACAGGAAATCTCATTTATCAAAATAAATGCAACTCCTTCCTTTTCATATTTTCAAATTAGATTTCCAGAAATATTTCAGCTGTTTGTTTTCATACTGACCAAAATGCAATCAAAATAATTATCCTACTTCAGATCCTTCTACTCTTTATGTAAGCCTTTTTCAACTTATGCTCTCCAGGTATATTTGGATTACTAAACTCACAAAATTTACAATCGATATTCATATTACACAGGAGTTTGGGATAGGATGCCCAACAGATCTTGAAGTCATGAAACTGGAAAAAGCTGAGTCTAGTCTTCAGCACTTTATAGGGCATGTGATTATTATATTTTCATTAAACTTTGTCGTGCCATCCTAGTTTACTATGCATAGATAGCTTTTTACATATATTCAAATATATGTTAATACTTTGCAACCTGATGTGGTAAGGTACAGAATTCAGTCATCTCTTTATAATAGCTTAATACAGTAAGCATAATCTGCAGGCTTGAATGTTACCTAACATGTAACTCAGTGCAATAAATCTGTAGAGATTCTCAGTCATCCAGGTCATAGTTGTCCCTTTTTTCAAAAGGTAACTGGATTTTCTTGTTTTTTCTTTTGAAGACATTTCACTTCTCATCAAGAACTTCTTCAGCTCTGATAGGATAGCAGGAAATGGTATAATGGAATACCAGCTGCCTGCAAGGAATATAAATCCTTCCATTCCCCACTATCCTATCAGAGCTGAAGAAGCTTCTTGGATGAGAAGTGAAACGTCTTCAAAAGAAAAAACAAGAAAGTTCAGTTGCCTCCTAAAAAAAGAAGAAGAAGAAGCACCTTTGGAACAGATCAGTGCAATGAATCTCTTCACTTTATAGCTTCCTACAAACCTCTGAAGTGAGTTACACACACACACGCACGCACACGCACACACACACACACACACACACACATGTGCACTTGCTGAAGGACACTGAACTTCCTCAGATATCTTCATCAACGAAAATATGGAAGTTACTACAGAGATCGATATCTTCTGGGCATCAAGCAATAACATTCCTTATTTTCGGCATTTGATTTTGATTTTAAATGCAAGCTTTCCAGTGGAATAGTGGTTTTTAGTAATTTTTATCCTAATATATATATATTAGGATATATATATTTATATAATTTCCTTTGCTATTAACTGATGTATGCTATTGTTTTAGTCAAATCTTTGGTAGTTTTGACCAACTTTGCAAGAAAAGTTGCAAAAATGTAGTAGATGGATAGACTGCTCTGTTCTTCGGTTGAAAAATAGTTATTATTTGGACTCTAGGTCCAGGAACTAGATTTTACAGGTACTGGTGGAATGGTTGTTATTCTGTTAGTTTTGTTTGCTCTATATTTGCTGCTCTGTTCCAGTTACAGGAAGTTTTCCAACATTCAGTTACATGGAAACCATGAAAAATAATATTTAATGATCATCAATGTTCATTTATAACAGTTTTTCAGTAATAGATCAAATATGTGTCACATAAAACATACAGTTGGTAGAGATACAGTTTTAATTCCTTTTCAGTAGAATATTCTATTCACTATTTGAGATTCACCTTCATGAGGGTAAAAATCATTGTTAGTTTAATTGCTTTTTTAAAAGTATTTGAAAATATCTGTGGAAATCAAGATCTATGAAGCTGACTTTTGGGATACTAAAAACATTTAGGTAAATATATTATTTTTATGTCTTAAGATAACATGTCCAAAAATAATAACAATGTGTTAAAGTTTTTGTTATTTGTTTAGATTTGCCTCTAAGTTTCTAATTTCTAATCTTTTAGAAGTCGGGATCTACCTATGAACAGTGGTGGGATTCAGCCAGTTCGTACCCCTTCTGGAGAACCGGTTGTTAACTTTCTGAACAGTTTGGCAAACTGGTGGTTGGAAGAAATCATTAGGGCAGAGAACCGGTTGTTAAATTACTTGGATCCCATCACTGCCTATGAATCACTCACAGTCTTACATTGTTGAATATACTGATAAATCATAAATATTTGGAGACTTTTTCTCAAGGATTCTCAAAGGTGCTTTACACAAAAGGTTAATGGACTTTCTTTTTTTTCTTGGAAAATGTTTCAAGTTCTGTTGGACGTGGAAGTTGCGCTTGCTGTTCAGGTTGGAAAATGTTTTAAGTTCAAGTTCAGTTCAAACTCAAGAAGTTTCTTGGGTGAGAAGTGAAATGTTTTCAAAGAAAAAAACTAAGAAAATCCAGTTGCCTTTTGAAAAACACCTTTGGGACAACCATGACCTGGGTGATTGAGAATCTCCATAAATATTTTCTCAAGGAAGTAAGCTCAGATCAATGCTAGCAGGCCTGAATGGTCCCCCCAATTACTGCATGGCAAAAATGGGGATTACTGAATCTTAAATTCTGGATTTTAGTCTCTATTACTGAATACAAGAAGAATATAACATAGTTATGCTTATGCAGAAGTCACAAGATTATGGCTGAATGTGCACAGTCCAAGACTTAACAAAAGGAAGTCATACACTTGTTCAAATTCTGTTTGCTGAATTAAAATACACCAATCAGTTTTCTGGATATCAGATATTCCCTCAGGCCTCTTTATTCTTCCCTTTATCACTGTACATTCTATTTGATGAATAGAGAAGTGTTTTGTAGTCATAAATTTTTCATTTTATTTTTAAACAGACCTGCTGTCATTTGAAATGCTCCCTGGTGAGAGAAGTGATTGTTAACTCCACTGTGCAAAAAAGAAGCTAAAACGCAGGAGGTGAAACTGAGTTTTAGCTGGAAGGTAATTATACACAATAATTTTACAGTGCCGGTTGGAAGAGAGGACGGCTTTTTGAAAGCCCATGCTGCCATTCTGTGCAAGGAGGCAATAAAGGGGTGGGGGGGGCATAGTAAATAGCCTCAATTAAGAGCATGCTTTCTCCCAAGATATTACTTGGCATGCTGCTTGTTGGCCTCTCCAAATATAAGGTCCATGCCTATTTTATTTTTCATTGGTATATGTCGAATCAGACAGCAGTGTATTAAATAGACCAGGCTGAAGTACAGACATATAACACCCCAGGCAGGCAGACAGGTTGGCAGATCCCGGAAATCTAAGTGGCAATCATAAGGCTCCCCCAATTGTGCCACAACTGGGATTGGACCCAATACAGGAGAGAGAGGCTGTTTAATTTCCATAAAACTTATATCACAAAACAATTCTCAGATATTTAGCAATTCCAAATCTTCAAAATATATCATGCACAATTATTTACATGAATTGGATTAATAAGGTAAAATAGTCCCATAATAGTGTATAGGTCTATATCAGATTTCAGACTATTTAGATTAATAGACTGATCAATTTAAATGTCTTCAATCAGATATTAACCTTCATTTTAAAGCATCCTGAGGGTAATTAAATGCTTTAATTAATTAAAGTAACTGTCATATTTGAAGTTTACTGTCTGACTATATGTCAGGAGACAGTAGAATTCCTTTTCTACCATAGTCTGGACAGGCCAGCTTCCATAACTGCTCTGTTTAACATCTCTATATTTTCTTTCTCAAGCAGAAGAGAAAAGAGCTGCTACAAGGTCATCCAATCAATATCACAAAGTCACTTGGAGTTCCTCCAATGTTTGTCCCTACTGGCTGAACATCCTTCTGCTACAACTCTTTCCCAAATACATGGCATCTAAGTAATGACAAACCTAGAAGCAATTCCATGTTTGTATGGATGAACAGAATTAGAATATACATAATGGTGTAAAAGATTTACAGATTGCCATGTTCTAAAATATATCAAATTTGATTATTAGCTTATTCGGAGTTAATGACAAAGAAACAAGAACAACTAAAATTTAGTTTTGAATGAATGGAAAAGATGATGTGATGGTGGATACATAGTCTTCCCTTTCTAATATCCGTCTTACTGTGTGTTTTGCAGTTATCTTGCTGAGTCAAGGAATAGCAAGACTTCATTGTGAATACAGTTTCTTCTCCAGCAACTGACTGCAAATTCTCAACCAGCAGAAGGTTAGGCCTGATGGGAGTATTGGAGGGATTCACTGTGCAAATACTTACTCTGAAACACTGAGTTCACTTAAGAGTCTGCTATTTGTTTATTGTCCCTGATTCCCTTCACTAATTAAATTAATAGTTTATCTGGGATGTGAGTTATATGTCAGTAATATCTACAAGATCACAAGTTGGAGTGGAGGGGAATATTAAGTAAATTTACCAAAACTATTAGCAATATCATTGAACTGGAAAATCAGAAACTGATTGAATTAAACCTTAAGAACAATACAGTAGAGTTGAAGAATTAAGAGTTGTGTTACAGTTCATGGCTATGAATCTAAACTGATTTTTTTTTTAAAGTACAGTGTTAAGCAATGTAAAATGTCTACCAACCACATAGCTGTAAATTGCAGATGCATCTATGTACACCAATGTGAAAAATACAAGTTTTTGTTACTCAATCAACTAGAATCCAGAAACATAAAAAGCAATGTGTTAAGAACTGACATTCAGCACAACAAAAAAACTATGTATACCTTGAGTAATTTAGAAAATCATCATCATAAACACCATTTTTGGGTATTAATTGGCTGTGAATGCCATGGGAAATGATCATGAGTTTATCCTCAATGTAAGCATAGTGTTCACTGGAACTAATACAAGGGTAAACAAAAGAATAAAAACCATTAAGAAAGGGATAAAGCACAAATTTGCTTTGACATAATAACCTTATATCTTTCAGTGATGTGCACAGTGCTACTTACAGGGAAATTATAGCAGTCAAAGGTATAAAGGTAAAGGTTTTCCCCGTCCAGTCGTGTTCAACTTTAGGAGACAATGCTCAACTCTATTTCTTAGCCAAGGGAGCCAGCATTGTCCAAAGATGGTCATGTGGCCAGCATGACTATATGCTGAGGTGCATGGGATGTGGTTACTTTCCCACTGAAGTGGTACTTATTTATCTACTCACATTTACATGCTTTTGAACTGCTAGGTTTGCATAAGTTGGGGCAAGTAATGGGAGCTCATGGTGCTCGGGTCTCAAACCTGGGTTGTCAGCTTTACAGTTGAAAAGCTCAGTGTATTTAAGCACTGAGTGGTTAAACCACTGATCATGTCCCCTTAGTCAAAGGTATTGACTAAGCAGAAAGCAGAAAAAAATGCATCTTCCAAATCCCAATATGATAAAATGTTTAGTTCATTTTAGTTTATGCAGAAGAAAAACTGCATAAACTGTATGCCAATGACACGCAGTTGTACATTTCAACCCCAGGCCACCCCAATGATGCCCTTGATGTGATGTCCCGCTGCCTGGAGGCCGTGCAGATCTGGATGGGGAGGAACAGGCTCAGACTCAACCCCTCCAAGACTGTGTGGTTGTGGCTCCCGACAGCCCGATATAGCCAGCTAACACCATCGCTGGCTATTGGGGATGAGATCTTACCCCCCTCAGAGAGGGCTCGCAACTTGGGCATCCTCCTGGACTCACGGCTGTCTTTGGAAGATCATATGACGGCCGTGGCCAGGGGGGCTTTCTATCAGGTTCACCTGATCTCCCAGTTGCGGCCCTTTCTGGATTGGGACGCCCTGCGCACAGTCACTCACGCCCTCGTCACTTCCCGGCTGGACTATTGTAATGCTCTCTACATGGGACTCCCCTTAAGGAGCACCCGGAGGCTCCAGCTGGTCCAGAATGCGGCCGCACGAGTAATAATGGGGGCGTCTCGTCGCTCCCCTGTAACACCCTTTTTGCGCGAGTTGCACTGGCTCCCGGTGGTCTTCCGGGTGCGCTTCAAGGTGTTGGTTACCACCTTTAAAGCGTTCCATGGCTTAGGACCTGGTTATCTACAGGACCACATTCTGCCACCGATTGCCTCCCACCGACCAATACGCTCCCACAGAGAGGGCCTCCTCAGGGTGCCGTCGGCCAAACAATGTAGGCTGGCGACCCCCAGGGTGAGAGCCTTCTCTGTGGGTGCCCCGGCCCTATGAAACAAACTGCCCCCGGACATACAAAGGATCCCCGACCTCCACGCCTTCCGTCGTGCTTTGAAGACCCTATTATTCCAGCAAGCTGGTCTGACGGGATAAAGGTTTTTAAACTGGGTTTTGATAGGGGTTTTAAAATGATTTTAGTTGGGTGTTTTAAATTCAGCCAATGATTGAATTATTTTAATTAAGTTTTTAAATTTTTGTTGTATATTGTTTTTACCATGGCTGTTCACCTCCCTGAGTCCTTCGGGAGAAGGGCGGTATATAAATATAATAAACTAAATTAAACTAAACTAAAAAGAGGAGCAAATAGGAATGGAATAAGGGAGAAATAAGCATCACTGCACCTTTCAGATATTTTGCATCTGAAACATTCACAACCTCATAGCCATTGATTGTTATGGCATGCAACCATGCTGGCCACATGAGTACATAAAATGTCTTTGGACAACTCTGACTCCCTCGGCCAGGAAATGGAGATGAGCATCGTGCCCTAGAGTCGATCATGACTGGACAGGAAAAACTTCATCTTTTACCTTTTATATGATTAAATATTATTTCCTTTGAAGTTCTAGGTGTTTGATTATTTAATACTGTCATGTAAATCAGGTGGTGGCTCATAGAGGAAAGATATCAGAGAGGGAGAAGTAGCGTCAGATTTAGGTAATCCTGGAATGAATCAGAAAACTTGTGGAAGTTTTTGAGAGCCACCTTACATCTCCTCCTATAAATTCAAGCAGTGAGAGAACAACTTTGCAAGCTGGCAGTAGTCATTTTTAAAACACAGTAGTTAAAGCAGATTTTGCATGGTCTCTAGCTAGTAGAGTTATAGCTAGGCTCTTTATAAAACAACCCTCTGACATGAACAAAACCATTGTTAACCTTTCTCAAAGAGCCTCCAGATACTGAGCTGATTAACAACCAACAGTGACCTTTCTGGGCCACAAGAAGATAAGCCAGAATCAGTGCTTCTGTTGGCTGCTGATAGCAGCAATTCCCTAAGCAGGACATTTGGCATCTGAGAGGGTGGAATAGGCAAGATTTCCAATGGTGCTGCTGCTGCTTCTTTTTTTTAAAAAAAGAGAGGCAGCTGGGGACAGAACTACATTTAAAGCAGGGCAGATAGAGATCTACATTCAAACCGTTCCTTTTTGAGACTGTGCTCAAATTATAGCTTTAACCTGGGTGACAGCCCTCTTGGTCTGATTTACACACTAAAATAGTATGTCAGGATTTTTAACCATAGTTTACCAAGTAAACCAGCATCACACAAAACCCCATGCTTCAAAAAGCTAAGTTCTTTCTGTCATACAATGTGAGCTGCTTCCTGTTTATACAGTAACCCTGTTCCTAAAATTAAGTAGGTAGAAAATACATGAAAAAAATATCTGAAGTTTATTAGTCCCTAATAAAAGCTAATCTGCTTTTCTGCAATTCCCTTTCCCTCGCCTATTATCCCTGATCACAAGCATAATGGAGGTTCCATTTGAGCCCCCAGCTGCATCTCCTTTGCCATTATTCACAAAGCTGTAATTTTCCTTGTAATAAACAATTTTCCCTTGCTCTTTTCAGCATTGATCTTGCCTGGATGGTGTAAATCTTTTTTTTTAAAAAAATAATGTTGCACATTGATGGAACCTCAGAGCCAATAATGAAATAAAAATGGAAGCTCAGGATTGGTAATGAAAATAAAAACCTGAGCTCTTAACTAAAACATTAGACTACGTAAGAACAGAATCATGGAATTGCCAGATTTCTTTGTTCTCTTTCAGAAGCAGTCTTTGAAACATGATTATATTCATTTGCAACTATGTGTTAACATTTTATTTTCCTTCACAAAGCAAGATTTGAAATTGTCCACTGCTCTTCCCATCATTAGCCTGTTCTAGCAGAGCACTATGTATTGTTCAGTAGTATCCATACGGCTGCAAGATTGCAACAGCAAGGGGCAGAGGGACAGTTTGACCATTGGCAAAAGCAGCTCTGTTAATGTAGGGACAGGATTCTCTCTTCTAGAGTCTCAAATGGAGTTGAGATTCTTTCCCAATACTTTTCTGCAGAAATTCTGTTCCAATTGCATTTTCATATCATTTGCTCTCAGTGCTTTTTCCCAGTTTTTTCAGTTAGTCATCCAATCAGTAGACAACAACCTCATGCTAATTAATCAGAACTAGATGCTTTCACCCAACTTGCTAAATAACAAACTCTGGTTTACAAATGATGTTCACAGAACATATTAAAGCCAAAACCAAACTAAATACATTATACTTTAGTTCAAGGTGTAAACCAAATAATATGGTAAACAGGATAAAATGTCATTGTACAATCAATAAGTTTTTTTTTTTTTCATTGATGGGGAAAGTATATCTTGAAACATTGTAAAAATTATGTAAATATTTCTAAACTCAAAAAGTCTTTGGGCCATTAATCCAGCCTTTTCAATTTGTCCTTACTTACACTGAGACAGAATGAGACAGAAATGAAAGTGTAGTCTTCAGCATTATTGTTGGTCTGAAGCATTCAGCAGTTTAACTTTGAAAAATCCAACCTGCTAGTTGGATTCAGAAAAATCATATCCTGAAAATTAGTTATTAGGTTTTTCCTAACCTGTTCTTCTTGCTGATGGAAATTATGACAAAAGTAAAAATTGGAAATTGTTAACCCTTAGTGACCATTCAAAGTTACAATAGCACTGAAAAAGAGACTTATGACCATTTTCACACCTATGACTGTGGCAGCAACTCCATGGTTACATGAACAAAATTCAGATGCTTCTACCAAAGAGTAAAACCTAACTGATCTAGTATTTTCACTAGGTATATAACTTGCAATGATTCATCACTTCCAGATTGCATTCATTCAGAATTTTGCCCATATTTTCCCAAAACATAGCATTTCTGGATTTCCATTATTGCCATCCACTAGAATGTGGCATGCTCCCCCAACCTATGGATTCGTATACACATCCACAACTATCTTGATGACTCTAATTCAGACATGCATTTTAGCCTTTCATATATTAT